GTACCGAGGAGTAAGTATGCGAGAGCAGCAAGGTCATTCCGGAACATGCAAAATCGCCTTATTTTCAATTACCGGATTTTCGTGCATGTGTTGGCTATGGGAAAAATCTTTTGTGATTTCATTCCACTCATGCAAATCAGTAGATTCTGAAGGGCCTCGAAGTGTTTACGGCTTGGTTCCCTCGGAATCAAGTTTCTCTTCAGATCAGGCTCCTATTGACCTTCTGAACCCTTTGTTAGCAGTGAAAACCGGATCTCCCAATCGAGTATGGCTCGAATCTATTGCAATGGGCTTTGCCATACATGAAGTTTTTCCATAAGAATTCATATATGTTTGGTTTTTAGAGCCTTCATTCGCCTCATCTTCACTTGTTACTGTTTTGAAGTTCTTTGCCACTCGGGATTTGCTTTGTGTTTGGTAGAACAAACAGCAGAACAAATTTTATCGAACAAATCTCAAACTTGGTTAATTGAGCAAACAAAACACTTCACTCGACCAATGTAATTAGCGCAATCTAAAAGAAAGCAAATGTCAAAATGGCATGCCGGATAGTTATTCCGACGGCTTTTTATAGACAGTGTCATCGACTGATGGTAGATGTGCCATATGTTGGAGCTTTCATCTCCTTCCGCGACAGTTTCTAATGATTTCTCAGGGCTAGCTGTGGGGGAACCGACATGGGGTATAAATCTATACCAACACCAAAACAGCCTACACTTTTCTTCTTTCTCATGCTCCTCATTGCTCTTTCCATTGAGACGGACCTCTGAGTGAGTCCTTTCTGTACCGGGCACTATGTCTCCCCGAGGCAGCCGGCCCACCAGCTCGTATCACGTTTTGTATTGATTTATTTATGGTATTCTTCGATGTTTTCTTTAAAAATGAATAAGAACCCACTAGACAGCCGATAGACAAACCGATCTGCTTGCCTTTCAAGTAAGCTTCATATCAAGTAGCAACCTTCAAGACCTTTATTCTTCCTTTATCTTTTGCTCTCTTTTTTCGGTCGAGTCCTTTCGCTCGCCTTTTCCCTATCACGCTCTTTTTTTCCAAATGTGTCCTATATCAAGTCGTAGTTCAACCATGTGCACACTTTATAAAAAGGCATACTCCGCGACAATGGGATGGGCGGAGACTCGCTATTTTTGCGCCTTCAACATTTGTGCTCCCAGTTGAGGCAGAAGAGAGATTGGTTGAGGGAGCGCAGTGGCAGCTACTCTCCACCCATCTTTTGGCGGAATGTGCCTGTAATAGCTTGAAATTATAAGGACGTGCATTCAGAGCGTGGAAGATCTCTGAATAATGGGGTGTTTTGCAGAATTCGACATCTCTCGATTCCTGGACGACTTCTTGATCTGGAGCGACTGGCTCCTCCATCAAATGGACGATGAGTTTCAGTACTATCAGCAGTACGGAGCCCGACTTCCATCTTACTTCTCCACTCCACATCACAGGTCAGGTCGTCTAAACGGTAGCTGCTTTTAGGGGGACTGCTTAGTCTATATATGGCCGAGACAAGCCATGGCGATAGGAAAAACTAGTCCATCAGCAGGATCATACTCCAGGGCTGCGTGGCACCTATTCTAACCCAATAGTTCACTGTCGCCTCCTTATCCCTACTACCACCTATTTTCACCTGCTAGCGGCAGCTTCATATGAAAAATAGCTGTTGATCTTAGGGAAAGGGGCATGATGTATGGATATCACTACGTAATTCTGAAAACTTCAATCTTCTCACAGAGGTTGTAAAATCACAATCAGTAGTGGAGGCGTGGTGACGAGAGCTGGATGAGCCCGCCCCGGCTGCCTTGCTCTACCAGTGGTTACGACTAGTGCTCGATTTAGGAAGAAGACAACCAGTGATGGCAAGGTCACAGTTGGGGTCAGTCCGTCCCTTTGGAAATCGACCCGAGTTAGTGTGATGATTCTCACTGTAATTTCCACTCCTTGTGGCTTTGATGGGAAGCCTTCCCAGTAACGGATGTGTGACCACCCCCCCCCCTCAACGACTCTACTACGAACCTTAGCACTGAATGTTCATCTAGAATGGGGAGTTGTGCGCCAGCTGTGAATCTGGATCCAGAAACCCTCAATTCTGTTCTTTGGTCAGCTGAAGGATGCTAATGTCCACAGACCTCGAGCCTCTAAGAACTGCTGGCAGGTTGCACTCCCCGTTCAGTCCTCTCTTGCTCCCTCTCTATATTCGCTGATTTTCCAGCATTACTGTAGCATTTTTCAACAGTTTCCCTGGAGAATCATATGTAGGACGCTTCCAGAACAAGGCAGAGCTTTGCATAAAAACTCTTGGGAAATCTTGGAGCTCTTGAAAAACCCGCTCATTTTTATGGATTTTTGATGTGCTGTAGCGTTTTCTGACGTGATATATCCAAAAAATGCTTCAGATGGCCTTTACAGTTGAACCTCATTTCTGATTATAAAGGCTCAGGAACGAAACGACAAGAGAGAAGGATGCGCTTTGGAAGATTGTGCACGTTCCGTCTTTGTGCACGTTTTCATCGAAAAGGAAATGCTACTCAGCGAGCACCTAGCAACCATTTTTGGATTATCTTAGTTCCTATCTGTCTTACTTGAATTTATAACCCCTCCCTCTTCCGAACTTGAAGACAGTTGACACGGTAAATCTCTGAAAGACTAGTACGTCTGAATGACTAGTACGTCTGGCAGGACTGAATCCGGCGCCCCTGACCAAGCGCTGCGTGGCGCCTTTTCCAAGAAAGTACCTTTATAGCGCCCTATCAAGCTGCAACATACTGACCCAAACGCCTACCACGCCCGCCCGCCCACAAATGTCCGACTGATACTGATATCGCTTCATTTGCGAAGTAAAATATGAAGCGAAGGGATTGATATGAAGCGGCTGCGGTGCTGCATGGATATATGAGTACATACATGCAGCCGTATCTACCGTAGCGGTTATTGGCAAGATGCCAACAGGGAACTCGTCCGAAATTGCTTTCTGAGTTGTATAGACAAAGGCTTTTTGCGGTCCCTGACCGTTTCACTTCGTTTTTTTTTCGCCATTTCCACTATCTAGCACTCCTGCTACCATTTGGGACAGAATACCGAATTATTGTGCCAACTGCCTTTAGTTGGGCTCAGCTAAGTATTTATTCTACTTCAAATCCCTGTTAATTAAACTTTAGAACAATCACTAATTAACCTAAAATGCATGATGAATATCGATTCTGCTAAACACTAATTCTAGTTTCGAAGGGCATTGCGGAACATCAAATCGGCCGTGTCGTGTGCGTGAGGTCGACCCCGAAAATGCAGTGAAGTTTGTCCTTTCTCAAAAGAGGGACAACAACATAACTGCCTCGTGAAGGACGAAGAAATACACGTGTACATCACGACTGCAATATTTTCGAGAGTATGACATGACCATGGGGATTTCCTAATGCCTGCAAAGGAAATATAACTTCTTTTCGGAATTCCAGTGGCTCTCTAGAAAATTTCTTCAATACCTTTTGCTTACCTAATTATTCATTTGAGGTGAATGTAACCGTTCCCAAATAGAAAACCTAGTTCTACACGCTTTCCATGATTGCTTAGGCTTGAAGGCATAAGGCACAATAATTTGGTACTTGTTCAAAAAGAGTAGCAAGGATGCTAATAGTGAGAACATGGCGGAAAAGCCAAGGTAAAAAGCCAAGAACCTGCAAAAAAACCCTTTGTTCTTCATAGCACTGGACGAGCATGTTTGGACGAGTTCACCGTTGGCATCTTGACAACAACCGCTCTGATGGCTATGTCTACATAGATGTATTAATAGGTCCAATTGTACTACGATAAGAGTACCACCGTCGATGGGGCTGTCCGGACATTTGTGGGCGGGAGTTGCGTTGGGCGTAAGGGTCGGCATGTTGCACATTGTTTAGGCGCTATAACGGTGCTTTTGGCTGAAACAGGCGTCACGCAGCGTCTGCTCGGGAAGCCAAACTCAGTCTTGCTAGTTGTATTTATGCCATACGCCTCGTGGATTTATCATGCTATTTGCCTCTAACCTAGCCTTTTGAACGCACCACGCGCTCATGAAATGCTACAGAAGCTTTAGTGCCAACAGTCAAGAGCTAGAATTGACCTCAGAATGAGGGATCTGGGGAGAATGTTTCCCAACCGGTGGAGAACCTAGTATAATCGAAGCAGGTAGATTTGATCCCCCTCTGCGCTAAGCTGGTTGTTACTTTCTGAGGTTGGTCAATCCATTTGCTTGAGCTTGTATTGTTTGTGTGAGGTCGAAAGTTAAGAACGGTTGGGCAGAAACGAATAATCATTTGGCAACAAAGTCTCTCTTATTGCCATCAAAATTACAGTCACAGCCTACCAAGGCCCTCCTCGCAGTTCTGTTTGGTGCGGGTGATGGTCGTTTCTGCATGATAGGTTTAGCACGGCGCCAGCCCGTTTCTTTTCCATATTTTTCTTTCGGAGAGCGACAGACTGTATCATATTGTTCGCATCAGTTCCACCAACTGTTGTAGCTTACCTGCTTCATCGACTGAGAGAGGGGACTGACTGCGTTCGAACCCACCCCGCTGACATGCCCGTCATCCGTAGCGAACAAGGCTATATTTCTTCGAATATCTGGCGAGGACAAATAGCGGTGATCCGAGTCCCGAGCTACAAAGAGCCTTCGGGAACCCCGTGGCTCAAGGGTGTGTCGTAGATATTAGAGAAGAGCTGCACTATCGGTTTAAGGTTTGCGAAAGAACAGAGACTTTCGCATAAACTGCTCTCCCTGGCTTATCGGTCCGGATGAAACTGGAAAAAATTACTTGCTAAGAGTAGTGCGGTCCGCACTGGACAACATGGTTTCGGTTTGGGAAGTTGTAAGGTAGAAGTGCCAGGACGCTAAGTTGCTCCCGGTCTGCCTTGGGATGCAGTAGTATAAAATGGAAGCTTCATTCTCTCCTGTGGGGTCGTAAGGCTTATCATAAGGATTCAGAAGAGTGGATTCGTCGCGACACGCGCGGTTTTTCTCCATGTACTCTTCCAACTGCCAGAGGTTAAACGGGTCCTATTAGAGGCGTTTTCGACGATCCCCTTTGCATTTCCTCTTTGAAGGTGGTTCCCTCGGCGACTTCTCTCCCATATTTCAACTCCACTACCAACGCACTCTAACGAGGACCGCCATTAAGGTTTTACCGGGAAATCATAGGTGAGGAGAAGGGAGAAAGTAGCAAGCAAGGGTCTTACCGAGCATCAGTGGAGAGTGCTGAATAGGGAGCATGCTAAATGTCCTTTCCTCATCCATGGCACAAGCCTGAATCAACCACTGCAGTGGGACCAATATAAGTAAAAGGGACCCGAGGGTTTCGCGAGGTGTATGAGGGTCCTTTATGATCAACGAAATACGTCCTGAGCCTTAGGCTAAAGTTTCAACGCAATTTAATGCATGAAGGGGCCTTAACTATGGATATACTGAAGTAGCTATTTTCAGGAATCCTTACGTAATATCGCGTCGACAGTTTGACGATGACTACTCCGATTACTATCGCGATTTCAAGGCACAGTCCAGAGACTACGATCGACGTGTGCAGACGTATCAGCATGCGATCTACTTCATTAGGGTCATGGCATATATCCAGGTCAGGGAGAACTTTTTAGTTGTAAAATCCTTCCTTAGGAGAGACATTCAACGATAACCTAAGACAGAAATCCACTTCGTAAGCAGGGAGATGTTCACAACACCTTAAAAGTGGAACAAAAAGGCGGCTTATACGGTTTGACTCTATCCTGAAACGAGCGCGGTAGGCAATGCTGTGCATAGCTGTCCGTCGCGTCGCCCTTTTGTCTGTTCTTTCGCATTTCGTCGTCTGGTCTCTCGTCCGGGCACTCAGCGTTTCTTCGCCGCACGCTCGTATAGTGCTTAAAATCGGTTCCCATTCCCACTATCCAGACCCACTGAAGTGTTTAATTTTCTCTTAATTTTCTTGGTTTCAGATTTTCATCGCTGGAGTTCTATTAGTATCAGACGTCTCTAAAATTGTCCTCCTTTGGACATTCGTTCACTCAGCCGGTACCATCATTGAAATGGTACGTTCTGTAGATATGCAGCACACCTCTTGGCCTAGTGGAGGGGCATTTTTTATTTTCGCTAGTTTCCTTAGTTACTCCCTGTTAAATTACGCGTCCCATCTGAGTGAGGCCTATGCACTGTTGTGCGTGAACGAAGTTCTCACTGCCACAGAGCTTCAAAAGAATTTACTTCCAGGGCACATCGTTGTTGGGGAATCCCCAACAGGGGGGGGGGTCGTATTTGGCCGCCAGGAGAGGGGGGTCGTATTTGGGCTGAGAAAAATTTATTTTGATAGTTGATTTTTCTCGCTTCACGGACGTTGTAAAAAGGGGGGGTCGTACTTGCTCATTGTTGGGAGGGGTGGGGTCGTACTTTTGTGATTTCATGCGTACTATACCCTCCCCTCCCCGCGCCTGCAAATTTTGGGAAAACCTGGGAGCTTTTTCGGGAAATTTCGAAAGAAAATTGGCAGGAAAGTCTGGGGAAATCTGAGAAATTAGTAGCAGAGGGGTCGTTTAGCCCTCACGGCTTTCAAATCCCAACAATGATTTACAGCCTCAGACGCGTCATAGGCAGTGGGCCGACAGGAGTCAGCAAAATGCACCCGACCCGACAATGTCAGAAATACGTACGCCGATATATAATTTTTTATTGTTCTCAAATTCATGACTGTGCTTTCTATGCTCTTCAAGTGTTTCACGGAAATTCTAGTGAATTTGCTGAATTTTGCAGATTTGCCAATTGTCATTCCCGCTTTTCTCGCTCATTCTCGGGTTTTTATCGCTCACCAGTGCCTTGTCGCCGTCAAGCGTCATCTCCAAATCGGTGGCCATACTCCTGATTGCGACCATCGTACCAAATTTCGTCTTTCCAAAACAGGCTGCTTTTATAACTAGTAAGTTTTTAAGAGTGCTTTTTGGATTTGGTTATCCACGAAATAATGAAGGACCCGATGTAAGGTGGTAACTGCTAACTATAGCCTATTAGTTGCGTCAGAAGGCTATTTGCCGCGATAGTTCACAGTCTAAGGAAAGCAACTACATGTTGACAATGAGCAACTGCCACAAAAGCAGATTTCACTCCTCGCAAAGGCTTCGGGTCATGACAATGCCGTAGGCGAGTTAGACCCGACTAAAGGAGAAGAAATCTGAGCTTTATCGGACCTCGAAATTCTTATATGCAAGACAACACCTATATCTTGCTTGAAGGATTTTTCGCTATGAGTTCGCGAAAAGCCCCTCGATAGCGGGGTTAAAAGATGCTAGTTGACTTGCCCGTCAAGAAAAATGGAGAGGAAGCTGTTGAGAAAGCTCCCAGAAGGGCTTTACTTGTGCTAAGCGAGAGACAACAGATCGATAAGGATATCCAGCGAGAGCCCAGAGATGGCAGCGAAAAAGCATGCAAACGAAGGAGAGCGTAAATAAGACATCTGTCAACTCAGGCGGATACTGCCGCTACTCACCACCTCCTGACTTGGAACTTACGCAAGTTTGTTCGTTGCAGTTCACACTACCTCTTCAAACGAAGAGTTCAGACAATTGTGAACGTGGACACTGCGCCTTTGGGGCAGGCAGTTGGCACGATAAATCCCTAAAGACGAGTAGGATTGAATACGCCTGGCAGGATAGAATTCCGCGACCCTGGGCAGGCGCTGCATAGCGGTTTCCCCGAGGAAGGTGCCCTTATAAGGGCCCTATCAAGCCACAACTTTACGTCCCAAAGCGCCTGCCACACAAATGGACGACCGTTCCTGCGCTCTAATCGATTCATTTGCTGAGCAAATTATGAAGCGGCCGTGATGCTGCATGCATACATGGGTACACATATGCAGCCGTATCTTCGGTAGCGGTGATTGGTAAGATGCCTACGGGAAACTCGTCCGAAATCGATTTACAAGTCACTGAGAACGGAGGCTTTTTCTTCGCAGGATTTTGACCGTTTCACTCCGTTCTTTCGCCATTTCCCCACTATACAGCGCCCTACTAGCATTTTAAGGCTAAGTAGGAAACCATCGTGCCAACTGCCTTTGAGGGTGTCTAAATACCAGATCTTGACAGAAAAGAGCAGGATTCTCCTTGTAAACCCTGCACAGTTGCCTAAGAACTGTATCGATTTTCAAACAAAAGTAACTTTGGATTGGGGGGAGGGAGTTCTCGTTTCGAGAATTGAGTACATCATTTTATATTTTGATGTCCGGGGCGACAACCGATCCTCGCTGAGATTCAGGCTCCATGGCCGCAGGGTGCACGTGACAACTAGAACATTTTAGGCCGTGCGGTCCGGCACGAAAGGCTGGAGCGCAAGGAAATAAGGGAATGCGGTTGTCAGGGCAGTGGAACATGCAAAAAACATGTCGCGAACACGAGGATGAGCTTTTTCAAAGAAAATGGAACTTACGGTGGATGAATCGCTAATCATGCTTGAAAGGTTTAACTTATAATGCCTGAGTGGGTCGTAGAATGTCATGCAGATGTGGAAGCAGAGGAAAAAAAATCGGCGCGACTGAATTGAGTAAGGGAGTGAGTCCCAGTTGTCTGTAGTTCACGTCATAAACTTCGAACTTGGTATGGGTCAAAGTGTAAAAAAACAGGAAAAATCAGGAAACAAACATGTCGCGAGCGTGAGAATGAGCTTTTTCAAATCTAGGGGGACTTCCGGTGGACGTGGTTTTTTTCTGAACCACTTATCATGTGTGAAAAACTTTAATGTCTACGATTGCGGTGGTCATAGAATGTGATGCAGACTTGGGAGCGCAGAGAACAGAAGAAAGTTGACGTGTTTGGAGGAACTGAGCTCAAGTTGTTCGGATGCGCCTTGGCCGCGTGGTGCGTATTATCCGCGCTGCGCCTTAACTCCGAGAGATTGTTCTGATTGTCGGACTAAAGGCTGGTTAGCCTTCTGCTTGTTAAAGGTTGGGTTTTCTACGGTCTGAGATTTTCCAAGCAGACAGCAACGACCTCTACTTTTGCCTCAATAATGGCCTGCTCTTCCTTGAAGGCATGAGGCACGCTAAATTTGTACTCGGCCTGAAATTTAGTTATCTTTTTATTCATTTAATGCATCCATACAGGGTACGCCATAACCACTTATAACATGAAATCGCTTGAGCACTCGGCAAGAACCGAACTAAGACTAAAGAATAAACCAAATAAACTCAAACAAGTGAAAAGTACTGGAAGGAAGTCGGCTGGGGGACGGCACACTGTGCAAGTGCACCCCCTACAGAAAAAATATTCTCAATTGACAGACCACCAAGAGCAACGCTTAGTCTTCCACAAAAACCCGCATCTGCCGGCTCAGAAGTCCATCTCCAACGATGGGATCATAGGGACTTGCTAAAACTCCGAAATGGTAGCAGGGATGATATATGGAGGGGAAAAGGAGAAAAAGTAAAACCTACAAAAAAGCCTTTGTTTCACAGAACTCAGAGAGCATTTTTGGACGAGTTTCCCGTTGGCATCGTGCCAATAGACGCTACTATACATACGGCTGCACTATATGCTCATACCAGTCGGATCGCCCGGCTGACGGCGAGCTCTCTCCTTCTCTTTAGCTGGCTTGGCTTCGCCAGGCGCACTTCATAATGGAAACGGAATTTGTTCATTCACTTAGCTACTCGTACTGCGCTCTTTTGATAGAATCGTAATAGATGAAGCAACACACGCAGCTCACGTCCGGCTGCCACGCGAGCAGCTTGTGCAAGGGCTCGGAGTGTACTAAATGGATATAGGGTGAGGTATATCACAATCAAAACAACATCCTAGTTGTTACTTCATTATGGATTAACTTGCAGTTTTGTTTGCGGTTGCACCCTCCTCTCTTGATGCGTGCTCCTACTCAAGCGCTACGCGCCCCCTCACCGTACCCCCTTCACCCAACCTCCTCCCTCTGTCTCCCTCTCTTGCATGTGCTCAGGTCCCGTTGCGCAAGTGCAGGGGAAGGAAGCAGAAGGGAGAGGTCATGCCTGCCATGACACAAAGTTACTGGTTTATGAAACGAAAGGACATCCATGTAGCACTGCAAATGCTTCATATTTTTGCTTCATTTGGTAGTTCGCGAATGAAGCGAGACGAGCGTCAGCATCAGTCGGACATTTGTGGGCGGGCTCGGTGGGCGTCCGGTTGGTAGATGGCAGCTTGATAGGGCACGATAGGGTTAGTTTTATCCTTCATTGGAAAAGCCGCCATGCAGCGCTTGCTCAGGGCGCCGAAAATATTAATCCTACACGTCTTGGGGATTTGCCGTCAATGAAAGTCACATAAAAAAAGCTAAGGAATTTGAGTAAAAAAATTAAATTCAGCTGCAGTGGAAGCTGTTGAGGTTTCTCGAGCTGCCGATCGGAATCTAATGAAGCAGGTGGGTTTATCACTGGATCTCCTTCAGTTCAAAAAGGCTGGAATTCCAATTTCAGATGTCTCATGACATGAGTGTGGGAATGATTCGATCCATCACTCACCATAAACTGCTCCGTATGCTCTCATCGACGGGTCCCCGATGGCCACTCGGTATCCAGGTTAGTCTCTTCTTCCACCTGAAAAACGTCTATAATTGCGAAAATAGGCCAGAAAATGGATCGTTTGCCTTTTTAAGATATCGTCGATTGTTCAAATTATTCTACAGTAGAGTAATTGCCCTCCCTTCGGTCGTCCTCGATTCCCGTTTATGGTGGTGAGAGCAGTGGGTGGGTGCCATGTATCGAAGGCCGGTCCAGTATAAATTACTTGTTTCCAGCAATTCGCCTTCGAACAGGGACAATTAACGCGAAATTGTTCACCCAGTTTCTAGTGACTTTGAAGTGTTTTTGGAAGCAATCCTGAAACACTCCAAGACAAGCTCTCGCGTAGCAACATTGGTTTCTAATCGTATAGAGGGCACGTCCAGACAATCGAGTGAAAATAACTGATATCTTTGAGGGCACTGAAAGGGAGTTTTGTGCAAAACCGAGATCACCGTGACGCCTTTAATTGAATAAAGGACTTTTGCATGAGCCTTAAAGGCAGTTCTCGCGATCAAGTGTCATAGATAGTTGTTCTTCAAATATGAAACAGTAGGTGATAAGTAATCCCCCATAGAAGAAAAAAAAGCAAGAAAAGTCGAAAAACAACAAAGACAACGGCGGAACTTGACAAAAAGAAACTTTCGAAAGCTCGGCTCATGAATTTAAGGTTACGGTAGCGTGCACGTATTAGTGCAGTCGACTTTTGCACCAAGAAAATTGCATCACTCGTGATTTTTACGCGTTTTGTCTTGCGCGATGGGTAGCCGTTGACTGTGTGTGTTCCTAATGAATAAAATGTAATGAATGTTTATCCCTGAGGTGGAGTAGGCGTGGCATTTGAACATGGCATAGGATGGGTTACTCGTGAGATATTTCAGTTTGAGACAACTGTCATCTTGTTCTGTGTTGGATAAGACATGATTATAACTGTCTCAATACGAAAATATCTCACGGAAAGCTCAGCGCCGCCACGTTCAGTTCAAGTACGCAGCCACGCCTATCGCATCACAGGAATTCCGAGTGTACTTATGGGCACGAGCACGGTCAGCAAAAAGGACATGCAGTTCCGATTAATGCCCGCCGCCCCAACAAAGAACAACTGAGCGGCCCTCCGTCAGAGGGCATCTAGCAAGTGGGCGGTCCAACTGAGCGGGCGTTAGAACTAGAACTTTCAGCGGCTGTAGCTCGCTCCTCGCTCGCTGTGGAGTCGCGAGAGTGGGACAGTCTCTTAGCTTGGGGCTGGACTACTTGCACAAGGAAGGACGACTATGACTTACTCGAGCGCGGGGCTGCGTTTAAAGGCACGGTCCGCGATAAAAAGCCTAGGTTGAGATGAATGATGATGATGGTTGTTGAAGATGTTGCAGAAATAAGGAGAATTCGCCAATTTGAAAATTCGCCAAGAAAGGGCCCTCTATGAAGAGAAAATGCCAAAGGGAACGTTGGAAACGCATTCGTCAGGCCTCCT